GATCAGGTGTCCAGCTCCAATGAGACGATCAACGTGGAGGAAGAGAACCACCATGAAGTGGTGCCTAAAAAAGAGGATATGGCAGATGAAATGGCAGGTTAGTCACGAGATACGGTGGTATCTAATTGTTCCATATCTATAGGTCAGGTTAGCCGCGCGGTTGAAGCGTCAGTAGTCAATTCACGATGGATTGCTGGTTGATGGGTTCGATTTCCACGACTGCAGAAATTTTATGATTGCCCCACGTTGGGCGCCATTTTATCGTTATTTTTAGTGGTTACGACAAACTATTTATTTTGGATGAATTTATGGGGCACCAACTAGCTCAGTAGGAAACAAACGATCCATTCGTTTTCTCAACCGTAGCCATTCGGAACGAGTGACATTTGAAAAATATTAAACAGCATTGAAGCTTCCTTCTCTCATTCACGGCTCAGACCTTTTTCTGACCACGTTTTTACTTTTTCTGACTAGCGACTGTCGTCTCTCTCTCTCTTTAGGAAAAAGTCACACGGTTGTTACTGCAAATAATAAGCGGCACCATCAGGTGACTCCTACAAATTTAGTAATTTTTTTCAGAATACTACTCCGAATACTGCTATTATTCCTCCAACATCAGTGTGAAGAGTGGAAAGCAGTCATAAAATATCGTTGTTTTTACTATAGATAATACGTCCAATTTGTGGAATCATCATTGACTTTCACGAAATGATTGTTCTGAATGCACTACTCATAATCATTCATAAGTTTTTGCCATTTTTTAAATACATCATATTGGTGAAGTATATCGCATACCGCATACCTTCTCAAGAGAACTCTACTGAAGCATTTATTTTGTAGTAGACTATACTAATGTTCCTACCACCATAAATTCCACTTTTGAATAGAAAATTTCAGTTCCAAGTCACCTAATCACGGGTAATCATAACTGACAAGTATCAGAATTTAATTTTGAATTCAGTTTCCATTGGGAGTCACAGTGAGATTAAGTTGAGCCGAATCGAATTTCACTTTCACTGGTTCTAGCTATTGTTGAATATCATAAAGCACAATGTTCTGAAATGTTTCGAATCTCAACAAAATGGTTTCCACGAGCTCGAAATACAGAATTCGACCGCAATGGCATCGAGTTTTTCAAGTTTCTCAAGCAGTCTTGAGGAATTGCTTGGAATTCTCCTTGATGGGCGATTCGTAGCTCTGGAAGAGTCTCTGGCAAGGCTGGACAAAGGTTCCGAATTATTTTCAATACAATTTTAACAATCCATACTTTCTCAAAACTATTGATTTATTCTCTCAAAGAGAAGATATCGACGTGAATAAAAAACCATTGCGTTAGAAACGGATCACACTTTAATCCAAAACTCACTTTTCCATAGGGCGTTCAGAAGTTGGAGGTGAAAGGGTAACTCTTGTTTTTCCATGCATAATGATCAATCCAATACCTCTTCTTGGAAACGAGCAACCCTTTTAGAAGTCTTCAAGAGTTTTGTGCGAGCAAAGAATGATGGGGGCCTTACCTTTTAACGTGTGATCCCAAACACTTTCTTGGGCCATCAGAAAAATTTATGCTGTCGGGGATCTGAACCCACAACCGGCATTTCAACATATCCTACAATACTGTTTGTTGGTTAATCGAAGAGGTGGCTTATTCATCATTCCAGATTTATATTATTTCAATATACGTGTAGTAAAGACAAATCAGATGATTTGCCCCAAAATCTCACTGCGTTTAGAGAATTTTCCCATCAGAGAGCCTAGAAGAAAAACTCAATACCTCGTTAGTGGCACTTTCACTCAGCTTTGGACGTTTCGTTTTCAACATGAAAAATGCAATTTCTTATTTGTCTTGACACTTTTCATTTCTCAGTGACGTTGGCAATCAAATGAGTTACAGGATGTTTTCATTGATACTTCTTGAATTTACCATTTTCATTCTCAGATGTATTATACTATACTATATTGAAATTATATTCTCATTTTTATTTTATAGAAACGAGGAGAGAAAATCCCAAAACATCTGAAATAATGAATATCCAACAATGATTTTATCTACCTACCCACTAAGTTATTAGTTGATCCCGAGTAAGACGATGTAATTTTGATTCAATTTCCTATACGTTCCAGCCGAAGGCACATCTTCTGACGCCGAAAAAACCGAAGAAGCCGATCAAGACGACACCATCGACTCTCTGGCCTTCCCCTTCCCCTCCAACTCCTCCAACTGTCCCCAAAACCTCACCAACTCCGTCGCAGGCGAGGCCTCCTCGGTCCTCAACCTCCTGAGAGGCGA